TTACATCGAGTGCCGGGGCATTTAACAATACATGCATCGACTGGCAAACGTCAGCTGCATGCGTTCTATTATGATATGGTACTGGTTGATAACGATGTTCAAGTGCGACTAAATAAGATATCAATGTATGAGGTTCAATAGCATATGTTCTGACAAGTGAACGTTCTTGAAATATTCGATATGCTATTATTGTTAATGGTTGTTGACAACTTAAATCTTCAATACGAAAAATATCCAAATCCCAATCATTGATACAATTAAGTAGACAACGTAATTCTTCAAGATGTGGAGTATCAACACCTAATTCAGATATTGGACTTGTTACTGTATGCACTGGTTGATCTACACAAATGGAAGCGGTAAGACTCGATGGATAAATTTGATAGATCGGATACTTTAGTTTCAAAAAATGAGTCCTTCACCATCATTTAGTTTTCACCTCAGAGTCGAATTCGTTAGATTTCACTCTATCGACACCTTCCATCACCGCTTTGTATTCATCTGATGACCGTTTGATTTCTCCTACTTAAAGCAGTCTAACAGTTACGGCATTGGCACCTTAATATCGTATACAAAACTTGGATAGACTTTCTCTCTGTCTGCAGTAATAATAAAAATGATGTTCCTTATTCCTACAGTATTCACTCATTCTGATAATTAATATCATACTAATAAAATTTACATAAGAGCTGTTCGTTATAATATGTGAAGATAAGACTAAAGACCACATCGAAAGAAAGGCACGTGAATATTTTTTGAATAATTTCAGATAGAAACAAGACAAATAGTTGCAGTTTTTACCGCCTGCTAGAAGAAATCAAGAAGCATCGGATCGTGTATTCCGTATGTTTTTGACCTGTCTCTTTCAAGGTTTTGAATCAATTTTTCTCTTGCTCGCAGAAAAGAGTTTTGCAAACATAAACTGTCTGCTTGCTTGTGTGTCCGCACTCCATTGATTAGTCGCCTGACTCTACGAAAGGCCGGGAAATTTTCTTTCCAGTAATATTTGACCAAAGAGTACTGGGGGTGGGGAGTTCGAATTTGAGTTTATTTTGAGAAAATGTATCATAAAGAATGATTCATTGATTATTAATTAATAATGTTTTAGGTAAACGTTCACGAAAGATAGTCTCACATGAAGAGTGCGAATCCGAAGTGAGTTTTTTCAATTAACAACTAATAGGCTTTAGTTGAAAAGTTGACCAAGGATTTTTCGAGGCGTTTAATATGGATCTGAGGTTGGTTCTGATGGAATATTTTTTATCAACAATTCTTCGATTATCAGCTACTGATAGTTCGGATGTAAGCTTGTCGCGGAGAGTGTCAGGCAGAGGAATAGAACTGAGGTCACACTTTCATTGCTAATTTATCTAATGTAGAATAATTTACGAGCATCGAGTGAGCTCAGCTGTCCGAGACTGATGAAGGAAATTTCAAATTCTCGTTTGATCTCAGTGATATACATTTCTAGTTGCGTATTTAAGCGCATGACACTATGGTACTTCGAGAAAACTAGGGAACCATTCCATAGAGAAATGAATTGTTAGCTGATTGCATTTTG